CACTCGGTAGCACCGCCCGGCGCCCTTTAGGGCTGGAGCAGCCCCGGTCTCCAGGCCGCTAAACGCCGTTTTGGACAACCCCAAACCCGCCCCCACAGGTTTCCAAACGGTGGCGGCTCTCCTCCCCAAGCACAGGCATCAGGGCTTCCTGGGTTGACATTCGGCTGCCCCTGGGCACTTCAGAGCGTCCTAACCTATAAGCTTTACACTTACCTTGCAGGGTAATCGTGAGGCTTAGAAATGACATGAGCAGGGCCTAATGCGGAGCTGGCACATTCCTCAAGTCACCGGTTAAAAGAAAGAAAACGCTACTCAAGGTCCTTGTCGGAGACGGTAAGGCCGACTTTATTCCGGGGGCCTGCGAAGGTGGGCTCTGCGGGAACAGACGGACTACAGCAGGGCCAAGTGGAGGTTTATAGTCAAGGAGTAGGTGAGGGTCAGTGGATGGAAACTTCTAGAGGAAACATCTGGCGCAAGGTGGGCTTCTCACTGAGCCGACTCGACAGGAGTTCTGCGGAAGGTGGACTGGGGTGAATCATTTACCAAGAGTGGTCAGCTACCAGGGGAGGGGAATATAGACTTGGATCGGACATCAGAGCTGGAGGATTTTCCCTAAACTGGACCCAGCAAGACTCTTGATAAAACTGGACCAGAATGTCCAAGGACAGAGCACAGGGGCCCGGCCTAGAGGACTCCGGCGCTAGCCGGTTTGTCGCAGTGGGTAGAGCACCGGCTTGTGGACTGTAGGGTCCTGGGTTTGATTCCCGTCAAGGGCAGGTACTTTGGTTGCAGGCTCCATCCAAGTGTTTATTGAGCACATGATATATGTCACTGTAGTATACTGGTTACTGCATGACTATATGAGTGAACTATTTTTACTTTGCTCTTTTTTGTTCTCCTGAGAAGATTTTTTAAGGATGATTTGGTGATATGGAATGACTTGTTTGGGTGAAGTGGTAGGGATGAGGACATAGGTTTTTATATGTCAAGGAAAAAGCTGCCTCCAAAAGCTAGAGTGTTGTATTGATCTCTGATTAAGCCAGATACTCCAGTGACTGGGTGTCTATTGGTTGTTGTGGTTAGTGTTAGGGAGAATGATGACCGTTAAGTCCTTCATAACGTTTAAGGATTGACTGAGTAATCAATCCAGTATCAGGATTACATGCAAGAAAGTTAACTAGCTATAGCGTTTACTTTGCCATTTAATATTTCTCCTTTTACCATCTTCTAAATTTTGATACCATTCACCATAATATTACTAGGTTCAAGTCTATTTTAGGAATGCTTTCGAGGTAGTTGGCAGTTATTCTAAAATTTTTTAAAGCCCAAGGTTGAAAATTTCAGGTGTGACAGGTTTGTTTGTTTTTTAAATATAAATTCCCATGGCACTCAAGAGAGGTCACTTGTAAATTTCATTGCACCTTTTGGGGAAGAGTGAGTTTGCTCTGTTCAACCTCATATTTATTATGGAAGCATCTGATCATCTCAGCATTAGCCTTTATTTCTAGGGCATTGATGTCTTTGTTCAGCTTCATTTTCCCGCCTTCTGACATGTGGGTGCAGATAGAGAAGTGTTTTGCAGAAGAGCTGTTTACCTGGAAACGCATAGTGAAGATGCATGAGGTGCACTTCATTTTTCTACTTGGGCTGGACATTTGAAGACCGAGAGGGAATCTTATAAAATGGTCAGGGTGATGGTGACAGTTTAGATAAGTATTAGTGGTTTACTTTGTGGCTTCACGTTTACAATCTTGCAAAATAAAGTAGCGTATCCATCGATTTGAAAAGATCCGTGGTTGACTCCTTGGCTTCTCGGATAGAGCATGTGAATTTGTTCTTTCTGAAAAACGTGACCCTTTTCTTCTCTAGAGCACTGGGTCTCACTCCCTCGCGTGATCCTGTGGGAGGCTCTGTGAAGACCTGGTTCTCCCCGGAGACAACTTCATCCCAGAAGAACTTCACCTAGAAGGACGTGGCAGGCCAGATGATGCCTGTAGAGCTGGGGCAGGCCCTCGTCCTGCTGCCACCGCTGGCAAAGGCAGAGGACTCCCTGGTCTCTGGACCAGATGCTGCCCCTCGAGGGGAGCCCTCCAGCCCTGAGGCTGCACGCCAGCTTTTCAGGCAGTTTCGTTACCAGGTGATGTCTGGGCCCCAGGAAACCCTGAGACAACTTCGGAAGCTCTGTTTCCAGTGGCTGCAGCCAGAGGTTCACACCAAGGAGCAGATCCTGGAGATCCTCATGTTGGAGCAGTTCCTGACCATTCTGCCCGGGGAGATTCAGATGTGGGTGCGGAAACAGTGTCCCGGCAGCGGAGAGGAGGCAGTGACCCTGGTGGAAAGCTTGAAGGGAGACCCCCAGAGGCTGTGGCAGTGGGTAAGCAGAGGACACTATGATCTGTTAGTGAAGCACGGCTCCTCTGGGGTCTTATCAGGTGTGTAGTCAGTTTTCTGATATCAAATATGTGGAATTTTCTACACTAACAACCAATTCTCCAATTCAATTCAGTTCGGACACTGAATATCGGGGTTACTCAGATCCCACAGGGTAAGGATCAGTCTCTAAGACTGTGCCCATTTCAGACACCAGTTACAAGTCTCCAGGGCCACCCGTACTTATAACCAACTGGCTAAAATTTGGAGGTTCCCCAAACACTGTCCTCATATAATTTGCTGGAATGAATCATAGAACTCAGGAAAACATGTTACTTATATTTACCAGTTTATTATGAAGGATATGATGCAGGAACAGGCAGTTGGAGGAGATGGGGTCACCCAGAGCTCCCATGCCCTCTCCAGGCCACCAGCTTCTGTGTGTTCACCGACTCAGAAGCACCCTGAACCCCATAGTTTAGGTGTTTTTATGGAGGTTTCATTACTTAGGCGTGATTGATTTATCGATGGCCACTGGTGATTGAAAATTTCTAGCCCCTCTCCCCTTCCCCAGAGGTTGGGGGGTGAGGCTGAAAGTTCCAACCATCTAATCACCTGGTTGCTTCCTCTGGTGACCAGCCTCCATCCTGAAGCTATCTCAGGGTCCACCAAGAATCACCTTATTAGCAGAAACTTTGGTGTGGTTGAAAGGGGCTCATTATAAATAGCAAAAGCTGCTCCTGTCACCCCCGTCCTTCAGGTAATTCCAAGGGTTTTAGGAGCTCTGTGCCAGGAACCAGGGACAAAGAACAAATATGTATTGCTTACTATGCCACATCAGTGTATCCCCGTACCGCACCTAATTCTTAAGATTCCCTGTGACTCTCAACACTTTTTAGCCATTAGAGATTGAAGATAAAGCCTCCCATCCCATTCCATCTTTTTTTTCCTTCTTTTTCTTTAATCCTCACCCAAGGATATTTTTCCACTGATTTTTAGAGAGAGTGGAAGAGAGAGGGAAAGACAGAGAGAAATATCGCTGTGAGAGAAACACATCAATTGGTTGCCTCTTCACGTGCCTTGACCAGGGCCGGGGCCCAGGAGGAGCCTGCAACCGAGGTACGTTCCCTTGACCGTAATCGGACCCAAGGACCCTTTGGTCCGCAGGCCGACGCTCTATCCAACGAGCCAAACCGGCTAGGGCCCATTCCATCTTTAGACTAGAACATTTGGGAAGTTGTTCAAAAGCCGCCTGAGTTTTAAGTGGTGGAGACTACCCAGTAGAGATGCAATATTAGTGGTAAGTCTCAGAAGTCTCCAGCCTGGTTCAGACCTCAGCTTTGGCCTCTCAGGATGTTTCCCTCACTGGTTCCTGCTGCTCTAGAAAGAAAAGCTGTTTTTCTCTCGCCTCTCTCCATGTCCCTAAAGGCTGTCATGGTCTGTTATAGAAGCTTTCAGAAACTCTCCTCTGCATCTTTCAGTAATTAGTCCTGTGTGGTCTCCAGATCAGCATCCAGGTTCTAGGACAGGACATCTTACCCGAGAAGGAGGAGTCTGCAGGCTGCCAAGTGGGGGAAGTGGAGTCTCTTCTTGAAGTGACACCTCAGGAGCTGGGACTTGGGAATTCACCCTCTGGGCCCGGGGAGCCACTGAGCCACATGGTGAAGGAGGAGTCTGAAGCGGAACAAGAGCTAGGTGGGCAGTTACTCAGGTGGTGTGTGTGCACTCTTGGAGAAACTGGTGGCCTACGAGTGGGCGGGTTGAAAATACAGTGGGGCCTTGACTTACGAGTTTAATTCGTTCCGTGACAGAGCTCGTAACTCAAATTACTCTTATGTCAAATCACTGTGACGTTCACTGTGCCAACTAGCGGTGGGGTATCTGAAGCTGGCTCATAACCCAAATTTTAGCTCGCAACTCAAAGCAAAAAATCGGCCGAGAGACAGCTCGTATCTCGAAAAACTCGTTAGTCGGGACACTCGTAAGTCAAGGCCCCACTGTAATCTGCCCAGATGGGGTTATCTCTAAAAAGTTCAAAAACAGGGTAGTCGTACTTCAACCACGCTGATTTGGATATTCGAAGCCTGTAATTAATTTAAACACTGTATGACTGGGCTAGACCTTTTGGGTTTTGGTTTTGAGGAAGGAGGTGGGAGAAAATATGGGTGAGCTTGTTTGGAAGGTTGGAGGGAGTTGCAGTTTGTTAGGGAGTTCCCTCCCATCTCATACTATTTGGTTCTCCACCAAGTTGTTCACCAAAAAAATGTCTTGGCTGTGAACAAAAACTTCAGTTGTTGATCTGACAACCCTTTCATGCTGTACCTCAGCATGACAAAAAGCGTCTCAGGCAATAAACAAAGGAGTAATGCTTTTGTTGCCGCAGAAATCGAGGATTAGCGCAATTTTAAAATATAAAGAGGCCACCAAGAGTGCTAATGTTGCAAAGTGTGTGAAAGTGCTCACAAAACAACAATCACAGGTAAATGAATAGGCAGAAAAACTGCTTTTGATGGGCTAAACAAAAGCAGTTAGCTGGTGATAGCATTTTTGAGACTGTGATATATGAAAAATTCTTTGTTTAAGGCTATAGGGTATGGTTCGGTAAATTTAAGAAGTGTGTATTTATAGATTAAACAGTACATTAGACATTCACTGTATATAAGAAAGGTTAAAATAGGGAATCATTTGGGGGTCTGGAACAGATTAATTCACTTTACATTATTTTTTTTAGTATATATTTTTTATTGATTTCAGAGAGGAAGGGAGAGGAAGAGAGAGAGATAGAAACATCAATGATGACAGAATCATTGATCGGCTGCCTCCTGCAGGCCCCACATGGGTCTGAGACCGCAACCCGGGCATGTGCCTTGACTGGGAATGGAACCGTGACTTCCTGGTTCATAGGTCAATGCTCAACCACTGAGCCATGCTGGCTGGGCCAATTTACATTATTTCTAATGGGGAAAAATGATTCAGTTTTCTAATTGCTTTTTTTTTAAAGTTTTATTTATTTTTAATTGACTTTTAGAGAGAGGAAGGGAGGAGAGAGAAACACCAATGTGAGAGTGAAACATGGATTGGCTGCCTTCTGCATTACCGGCCCCCCCCCGCAGGGATCAAACTGCAACTTGGGCATGTGCCCTGACCCGGAATCGAATTGGCAGCCCTTTGGTGCATGGAACGATGCCCTACCAACTGAGCCACACCAGCCAAGGCACAAATGGCTTCTTGAGCAGCCTTCTGGAACGAATTAAGTTTGAGAACCGAGGTTCTACTGTACAGTTCCTGAAGGCATAGATGGTGAAACAGGTGTTAGTTCTAATTTGTGGAGATTTTTTACCTGTACCCTTTGGGGACTGATTGAGGACATCGGATTCTTGAGACATCCTGTTTCTCACTTCGGCAGTGGCTGCTTCCCAGCTTCCTGCCCAGCCTGAGGAGAGGCTCATCGGAGACCAGGACTTCGGAACCTCACTTCTCCACACGGCACCTCAGGTGAGCTGGGTGGCTCTGCCTCTCTCTCCGGAAACCAGGCTTTGAGGATGTGTCAGTAGTGAGAAGGAGTGAAAGGGGGAGGAGTCTCAAAAGTGGAGCAGAAGGAAGGCCTAGCAAGGATAACAAGAATAATATCTGTGGAATGAGACCCGAGTTCCAGTTCTTCTTAAGACAGAATGTTTCCTCATTGTCATCTTGAGCAATGGAATCTGGAAGCAGTTGCTCTGAAGAGGCAATCTTGTCTCTCCTTTTTTATTATCTTTGAGTTATGCTGAGAAAATACTATCTCCTTTCCTATTTAACCCTCTCACATAGAGTCAGTTTGAGATTTTGAATGGTTATACCTAATGTGGGACAGGTTAACCTCCCCTCCCCAACTCTATGGAGGAGTAACTGCCAAACAATGAACTGCACATGTTTAAAGTGTAGAGTTTGGTAAGTTTTTTGATGTACATACATATATATATATATACACACACAAAAATGAAACCATGACGATAAACAAGATAATAAGCAAATCTGTCACCACCAGAGGTTCCCTTTTCCTCCCTCCTACCCCTCCACATTCCCCCAGTTCTGAGGCAACTACTGATCTGTTTTCTGTTACCATACATTAGTTTGCATTTTCTAGAATTTGGTATAAAATAGAATCATGCCATATGTACTCTTATCTTTGTTCTGCATATAATGCATCTTTCATGGTTGGTTCTTTTAATATTTTCTCACTGGTTTTAAACAATTTGACTGTGATAAGCCTTAGAATAATATTCTTTGTGTTTCTTGTGCTTGAGTTCATTAAACTTGGGTGTGTGGGTTTATAGTTTTCATCAAATTTTGAACATTTTTAGCCATTCTTTCTTTTTTTAAATACATTTTTATGGATTTCAGAGAGAAAGGGAGAAGGAGAGAGAGATAGAAACATCAATGATGAGTGAGAATCATTGATTAGCTGCTTCCTGCACACCCCATTCTGGGGATCAAGCCCGAAGCCTGGGCATGTACCCCTGACCGGAGTCAAACCTGGGACCCTTTAGTCTGTAGGCTGATGCTCTATCTACTGAACCAAACCAGCTAGGGCATTGGCCATTATTTCTTTAATTGTTTTTCTCTGTCTTCCTTTTTTTCTCCTTTGAGGCCTCTGAGAATTATATACATGTGGCTCTTTCTTTTCTAATTTCTGTGTTTTATTTTGGATAGTTTCTATCTTAATGTCTTCAAGTTCATTAATCTTTTCTTCTTTGGTGTCTAATCTGCTGTTAACCCCATCCATTGTATTTTTAATCTCTAGAAGTTTGAATTGGGGCTTTATTGTATCTTCTATGTATATACTTAAAATGCTATGTATATACTTAAAATGTTCAATCTTTCCTCCACCTACATGAACATATGGTTATAACATCTGTATTAATGTCCTTATCTGCTAATTTTTCACCTGGGTTTGTTCATTATGAGTGGTGTTTTCCTGCTTCTTTGTATGCCCAGTGATCTTTGATCGGATGTCAATCATTGTGAATTTGACCTTGCTGGGGGCTGGATATTTTTGCATTCCTATAACTGTCTCTGAGCTCTGCTCTGGGATACAGTTAGGTTATTTGGACACAGTTTGTTAGATGGCATCAGAGGAGCTTTTAGTGTAGGGCTAATTTTTCCCCACTACTGAGGCAATACCCTTCTAGAATGCTACCTGAAGCTCCTTAATGGACAGGGTTTCCCACTGCAGTTCTGGAAATGTGAGGCATTTCCAGCCCTTCAAGCTCTGAGGATTGTTCCCTCTGTTGCTTTTATGGGGTTCTTTTCTGTACTTGAGGGGTCCCTCTGCAGATCTCTGGGGCTCTCCTAGTGCAGCTCCCCCATCCGGGTCTTCTGCCCTGCTGACTCTATACTCCTTTGAGCTCCTGCTCAGCTCAGGGAACCACCTCCTCTGCCCGGTTCCCCTCTCTGCTGCTCTGGATGTTCTATAGGCAATAAGTGTGGGCAACTGTGGGGCTCACCTAATTCATTTCCCACTTTGAGAGGCCTCTGTTCTGCTCTAATGTGCACTATCCGGAAACTCTTTAATCAGATAGTTCGTCTCTTTTTTAAGTTGTTTCAGATACAAAGGTAAATCCAGTCCCTATTACTTCATTTTGGCTGTAAACAGAAGTCTCTGGGACTGGTTCATGTTGATAATGTAGTTAAAAATTCTGAAAAGTTGCATTTCATTAAAATAAAGTTTTCCAGGAACCTATTCACCTTAATCAAAACTTTCATTGTTTCAAACCCTTGGGATTTGCCTCGTGAAGTAATACAGAGTGCAGGTGAAGGTAGGGAAGCTGATAAGTGATACTTAATGTGGGGCTGGAGATCGGGCCTGAGCTCCAGCTTGCCAGGCTCCACGATGTGGAAACTGGATGCCAGCTTTGCAGTTCACCCTGGGAAAGGGATGCGGAGGGCGCAGGGAAGAGATATATCTTTTCAGTTATTCAAGGGTGCCTTCTTGCTTTCAAGGTACCCAGAAACCAAATTTTTAGGCAGGAGAATGCTTGGTTAAAAAAAAGAAAATTGGGTATTCTCTCAGATATTTCAAGCAGACCTGGAGGATTATTATTTATTCTATAGTAAGTACAGTATATTCCTATGAAAAGTATATACAATTTATGAACACATTTTGACTAGTAGAATTAAGCATTAACTCTACATAATGACGTTAACCATGACCTTTCCTGGATAGTTTAATGTCAAAAGATTTAAAATGCTCATCAGCAGCACCCTGTGTGTGTGTGTATTAAATTCCTTCTATGTAGCAGATAACTGATTAACAACCACTTATCCCTACCCAATCCTAATATCCCTCCCCCAAACTAACAACAACTATTTGCATCAGAAGGACCTTGATATTTAATGGAATCCTTTGTAAGTGAAGGGGTCTTTTTATTTTTTAAGTATATTTTTATTGATTTCAGAGAGGAAAGGAGAGTGAGAGAGAAATAGAAGCATCAATGATGAGAGAGAGCCACCGATTGGCTGCCTCCTGTATACCCCCCAATTGGGGATTGAACCCGCAACCTGGGCATGTGCCCTGACTGGGAATTGAACCATGAGCTCCTGGTTCATAAGTTGAAGCTCAACCACTGAGCCAAGCCGGCAGGGCAGTGAAGGGTTTTTTAAATATAAATAATCACGTTTCCTAATCTCTTTCATCAGTTAGGAACTTAGTGAGTAATGCCAGAATAACAAAGTAGTGTCCCTACTCAGTGGTACTTCGTATTAGAAACTGTGACTGAGTTAGAACCTCAAATGCACTTGGGGATACATTTACTCAGAGTCCTGTGTTTTCAAATTTTGGGAAAGGAACACAGTACAAAGAACTTTGTGCAAGTCAGTTGTGGTAATGTCTTAACTCACCAGATGGTGCTGTTTCCACACAAAATGACGTATTTCTCCATCAAATCTTTTACTCCCACCCTTCCAGAATAGGAATTTAGATTTTTCTTCCTCTTTTAAAAATGAGAAAAAGCAAGGGTGAGTGTAGTTGGTGTTTTGCCTCCTTTTTTTTTTTTTTTTAATCTTCATTTGAGGATATGTTTACTGATTTATTTTTTTGTTTTTAGAGAGGGAAGGGGAGACAGGGAGGGAAGGAGGAAGGGAGCAAGGGTCTGTGTTCTCACTGAAGACTCAGAGCTCTTGTAGTCAGTAATGTTTGTTCAAGTTGGTTATTTTTAGGACATTGTTAAGGTAGCTTCATTCACAGAAGATTTACAAAGTAAGCTGCTAACAATTTCAACTTTAAGAAGCAGTTATTAAAAATATGGTTATAGTTAACAATTAAATATATATTTTTTCTTTTTCTTTTTTTAAAAAATTTTGTTTTATTGCTTAAAGTATTACAAAGAGTAGTACATATGTCTCCTGTTTTTAATCCCCCCTTGACATTCCCCCGGCCTCGCCTACCCCCCAGTGTCTTGTGTCTATTGGTTATGCTCATATGCATGCATACAAGTCCTTCAGTTGACCTTTTACCCCC